GGGCACGGGCGTGAGTCAGGGAGGTGCGGGCGATCTCCATGACCAAGCCTATGCGGCGCTCAGCAACCCCATTCTGCTGCGGGGACTCTGGAAGCGTCCAGGACTGACGAATGCCCTGCTCGCGACAGAATCCAGCGAGAATGCCGGAGCGAAACTCACCCCCGCGGTCAGAGTGAAGACAGCTGACACGACGACCACGAGTGTCCGCGGTGGTGAGCAACCACCTGATCAGCGTAGAAGTCACCTCAGACTTCTTCGCCAGGGGGAACACCGTGGTGTAGCGGGAGTAGTCGTCAACAACCACCAGAAAGAAACGCTCACGCTCAGGGCCAAGGCGAGAGGCGGGGCCCCAGACATCTAGGTGAAGCGTCTCAAACGGCTCGGTGGCCGGACGAAGGGAGGAGGAGTGAGGGGTGGCGCGCAGCCGACCCTCGACGCAAGGACCGCACGGTGGTGCAAGAGACGGCGGCAGCGACGGCAAGACACGCGGGAGACCTAAGACCAGACGCTGACTAGACATAGCACGCAGACGTGGAAGAGAAGGGTGTCCCATCCGGTGGTGCCACAGAACAGTGGGGTGGGCAAGCGACCGACAGGAGCAAGACGCAGCGACTGGACTGGACGCGACAACCTGAGGGGACGGAACCACCTGGTGAGACGCAGGGAGGAGACTAGGGGGAGGGACAGGAACTGGGAGTAGGGGCTGCTGCGACGGCGGCCGCTGCGGCTGCTGCTGCTGCTGCTGCTGCTGCTGCTGCTGCTGCTGCTGCGTCCACTGCCGTGCGCGCGGGCCAGTGTGAAGAGTGTAGAGACCGGAACCCGGCTCAGCAGCAAAGGTGGCGAGAGGCTGGTAAGAGTCACCGTCAACACACACTGCAGTCTCCCCAGAAGGCTCAAACCACACACCCACGTGCTGACTCACGAGGGGTCGCACGCCCACCAAGTTCCGGGAGAACGAGGGGACATGAAACCCAGTGAGAGACCCGGAGGGGGCAGCAGGACACGGCAAAGTGGTAGTGTGACGTGCAGTGACTGGTCCCGAGGTGGGATCAGCCAGTGCCACAGAGACAGGCGCAGGAAGTGGCGTAAGTGTCGTGCTGTCACGAAAGAAGCAGTGCGAGGCTCCAGAGTCCAGCGTGAAAGACAGTGAAGTGTCCTCCGAGGTAGCCGCTGGACTAGTGTCTACACAAGAACCTACACTAGCAACAGGCAACTGAGCAAGGCTAGCACCTAAGCTAACAACACCAGAGTAAACAGAGTCAGAAACACTAGAGTCAACAACAGCATACATAGCATGAGGAGTTCCAATCAGATCAGCTAACTGCTCGGCAGACATGTCCCACAGAGCGGAACCGTAACGCTGAACAAGGGGGAACCAGTCAGGGGCAGGACCGCCAACCCCGTAAACCAAACGAACCGTGTCAGTGAGCTGAGCAAAACACTGACCAGGGGGGTGAAGGCGGCCACAAGGGTGGCCCCGGCGAGCACCTGTCAGAACCTGATAGGCGCAGGGAGGGTAAACAGCACCACGCTGCGGCTGACGCGGCCCCGACCCCGAAGCCAGCTGCGGCCGCTGCTGCTGCGGAGGCTGCTGGGAGGAGAGGGGCTGCTGCTGCTGCTGAAGCTGCTGCTGACGCTGGGCCCGGTACCACGCCGCTGCCCCACCCACCGGGGCTGGCAGTACAGGGGGCGACTGACGAACGCGGGCGTCGCCACCACCAGCAGTCGCAGTGGAGTCACCGGTCGCTGCACGAGACGTCTCTCCAGGCCCTGCACTCCCACCACCGCCAGTCGCAACGCCACCCCCACTACCTCCGCCTCCACCAACGCCGCCACCAGCACCGCCCCTCTTGCCACCCCTACCGCGGGACCGCGACGAAGTCGTAACAGCAGCTGCGGTCGCGTCAGTAGCGGCAGTGGCGAGAGAGGCAGTAAAGGTGGGCAACTGCGGAACTGTGCACCCGTGGAAGAGCGGAGAGGGCACAGCACCAGAGGCAGCGGCGACGGAGCGGAGGTTGCTCTCGACGTCCTTGAGAGCAGACTCAAGGACGTCAACAGTGAGCTCACTAGGGTGCTTCAGGAGAAGCGCGTCACGAACGGAGGCAAGGCGGTCGGGGAGGCTGGTGGCGATAAAATAGATAGTAATCGCCATGGGAGGAGGAAGCAGTGCGAGCTGGGCCTCAGTGCAAGCAGCGCGGTAACTAGAGTCGAGCGAGCGGAGGTGAGCAATCAAGTCAGCAGAGCGCTCAAAAGAGGCGAGATCAGGGAACAGGAACGGGAGGAAAAGGCGGCCAAGAGAGACAGCAGCAGGAGTGGAGTAGCGGGCCTTAATCGCAGTCAGGTACTCAGCAGCAGTGCGAACCTGAGCAAAGTGAGCCTCCTCAGACTCGGGGAGAAGGGTGCTGAGCGCGATGCAGGCCGCAGCGTCACGCGACGTCCAGGCTGTCAGGTCAGCGCGCTGGCTAGCGAAGCGAGCTCTAGCGGCGTCGTCAGGGGCAGGACCTAAAGGCGTAGGGTCGGGGGGCGCAGGGAGGGCACCAGCAGCGTGCGCCCAGAGGGTCTCGCCTGACTGGACCTGACTCTCCAACTGACGGCGAGCGCGCAGAAGCCAGAGCGAAAAGTCAAGGGGTCTACCGTCAGCGTCGAAGCGAAGAACACGCGGAGTCGCCATCGTTAAAACCGACGGAAAAGCGGAGGCAGGAAACCCTAAACGAGATGGCGTGGCGAAAATCGGGCGGGCAAAGGGCGAAGCGTGAAACCCTAAACGAGGTAGAGGCGCAGCTAAACGGGGGGGGGCGTTAAGGGGCAGCCGCACGGGGGCTAAGGGCAGCCGCGCGGGCGCGGGGGCGGACGTTAAGGGGCAGCCGCGCGGGGGCTAAGGGCAGCCGCGCGGGCGCGGGGGCGGGCGTTAAGGGGGAGCCGCGCGGGGGCTAAGGGCAGTCGCGCGCGCGTCGCGACGAGCAGCGAAGGCGGGCGCCGCGGCGACGGGCGCAGGCTGCGGGCGCGACGTCAGGCGCCGCGGCGGGCAGCGACGGCGGGCGCCGCGGCGACGGGCGCAGGCTGCGGCGGGCGACGGGGGAATGCGCAGCGGTGGCGCGCGTAAGGGGGGGACGGGCGACGGGACGACGGGCGGGGAGAGCGCGATTCGACGGGCAGCAAGGGGGGAAACGCGACTCGACGGGCAGCGGGGGGAAAAACGCGACTCGACGGGCAGCGGGGGGAAAAAACGCGACTCGACGGGCCTCGGAGGGGGGAAAACGCGATGGGCCAGCAGGGGGGAGGAAGGTCGCTACGCTACTCGAGTAGGGGATCGGCGGAACGTGCGGTAACGAAGGAACGGGACGAGAGCGGGCCGGCGCTAGGCTCGGGCAAGACGTGCGTAAGTAATACGAGAGAGGGAGACAGGCTCGGGCGATACGAACGAGGTCGGGAGGAACGGGATCCTACAGGATCCTAACCTAGGTGATACCATCTCAAGATCGGAAGTGTTGTTTCATTGATGGTGGTTGGGGTACAAGTAGCAAACCCTAACATACGTACCCCCAAAGACACATCTCACTACAGGCTACCAACATTTGACAGTAACGGTAACGAGCAAAGTGTAGGAGGTGCGCGACTGCTCTGCGGCTGAGGCTGAGGTCGGGAAATGTCGAGGAGGAGGCCCGGAGCGTGGATTACCAGCTGATCCGTGGGTTGGGTTGCGATTGGTACAGTGGCGAGAATGTCGGTCAAGGCGAATGTCGCGAGCGGTATTGGCGTGCTATTGGCGAGAATAGTCGTGTACGCGGTAAGTAGGGGTGCGACGTAAGGGAAAGTTTTTTTCCATACACGTACACACTATCTAAAACTAGCGTGTTTTGCTTACACTGATTTTTTTCCTGTGATATTTTCTTGTTTTTTCTGCTCCGAAATAGGATGTTAAACGACTGCAAATTTAGTGTATACACGGTGAGTCGGGCTGAGGTGCCAAACCCCCATGTCGAGCTCGGTATTGCCGCTCGCATGGACCCGTAATAAGGACGCGGGCACTCACACCGATTTCGGCGATCGATTTCGGAGCAGGATCGTTTCTTTACGAATTTGAAACAGGTCAGGAAAGTTGTAGAAAGTAATAGCAGGTTTTCAGTGCGGTGGCAGATCGAAATTTTTCAATCGATCGCCAAAAAGGATGCGAGTGCCCGCGTCCTAATGAAACTGCCTATACTGGTCTAGAAGTTCCATAACTTCCTGGATATCCTACGCAACGCCTCGCTCGCAACGGTAGCGGGGCAGCACTTGGACCCTTTCCGTGACATGCGTCACACTAGGAAGTCCACTTTGCTCTGCAGTCGAATTCGGCCCTTCATTTTGCATGGTCCGTGAGGCTTATACTTCAACATAGCGTCCCGCCGTGCGTGCGGGTGTGCGTGCTGCGCACCATGCGGTACGGCGACGCGCTGCGGTCGCTGGGGCTCTCGCACGGCGCGCACAGGGACGAGGTGAGTGAGCGCAAGTCGCCGCCGCAAAAATCCTTCCGCCTGCCCCGTACCGCCGCCGCCCTGGCCTGCTGCTCCACGGAAGACCCCCACCAGCCGCGCCAGTATGCCGAGCGAGCTGCATATCGTTGTCGCCTGTACTCGCCCAGTACCCCCTCGACCGTGTCGGCCTCCCATCCCTGCACCGACTGCCCGCCTCGCTGCCACACGCCGAGCCAGTCCGGCCTCCCCAGTCGCTCTCCCTAGTGCCTCTCTCCTCGTCACCCCGCCCTCCGCGCTCGTCCCGCACGCCTCTCTACAGCTGCACTGTGCGCCCGCCCCGTCCCCTTTCGCCCCGCGCTCGCATCTCTCCCGCCCGTCCGCGCGCCCTCCCGTCCTCCCTCCGCCCGCAGTGCGGTCCGCCTTTATCCGATTGCTTTCCCCCACCTGTGATGCTCCCTCCTGTCCGCTCCCCCTGGCGTCTTCCTGCGCTCTTCCCCCCACGCGCCCGCAATCCCCGTGAGCGCGTTCCCTCCCGGCCCACAGGTGCGGGCTGCCTTTCACCGCCTGGCCAAGCGCACCCACCCAGATATGGTGCCGCCCGGCATGCGAGGCAAAGCCGAGGCGGAGTTCAAAAAGGTGCGCCAGGGAATGGGGAAGGGGGAGGGAGAGAGGGGGATGGAGGAGGGGGACGAGGGAGTGGAGGAGACGGGTGTAAAAGAGCAGGGGAGAGGACGAAGCGGAGGAAGGCGAAGGGGGGGTTGAGGTGAGGAAGGTTGCCGGCTTCTTCGTTTATCTCCTCCCCTGATTCTTACAGCCTGGATACCTACTTGAATGTTGCAAGTCCTGAATGGTCATTGCATGCCCTTCCCTTTCACCCGTATGTGTGCGTGTGTGTGTGTCTGGCCGTGCAATTATTTGCATCATCATGTGCATCACTGTGTGTGTACCTATGGGTGCAGATCCTTGAGGCCTACCACTTGTTGTCTACTCGTGAGTTCAATGCTCTTTCCACAATGACACTTGATGCTCTTCCCGTTGTTCCACCTGCTTTCTCCCCTGCATTTATGCTTTGCGGCTTCTCCTCCTGTATGACTTTGTAAACTACATCCGCTCGAGCCGCTTCTCGCTTTCAATACGTTGGCACGATAACCCTACCTCTGTTTTCACCCCACCCACCTCTTCGCTTGTTTGCTTGCATTGCAGGCCCAGCCAGATATCACCCGATGAGAAGGCACTCCCCTCCTTCCTCTCCCACTTCCACTCACACGACCACGAGCACGGCTAGAGCAGCAGGAATGGGAGCAAGAATGGCAGGGGGGGCGGGAAGCGGTGTGCTTCACGGCAGTGCAGTACCCCGGGGCAGCATGTCTCACTATGGCCTTGTAGCGCTGCCCTTTGTGCTCCTTGTGCTCGGCACCGTCTCTCTCGGCACATCCTGCCTTGTATAGTAAGCGCCGCTCGCACCACCTTCGTGTTGCTTGCGTCCCCCTTGACCCGTCGCTTGCACTGCATACAGTTGGTGCGATTGCGATTTGCTTGCTGAGCCGCTTTCCTTGTAGGAGGTTTCAATGCCATCCCATGCTAATAATAGATCACCTTCCTGTTTTTCTTCCTTGGAATATGAGTGCAGCTCGTACAAGAAAGCCACCAAGGACAGCAAATCCAGGAATCCGTTTCTTCCATAGCGGGCGGGCAGGTCGTTTTTTCACGAGGAAGGGAGTGCTGGCATTGGACAGCTTTGGGGAGTGCTGGTATTGGACAGCTTTGGACAGTTTTTTCACGAGGAAGGGTAGAGCGTGCCGTGCTTGTGTTTGCTTACCTTGTGTTAGAACTTCATAACATGTATATTTTTAAAAGCTGTAATGCTTTTTAAAATTATGTATTTCGAAAGCGAAGCTGCCTGTAATGTAGGATTTGGCAGCGTCGAGCCGCGCTAAACGCCCGTTTTGGAGTACAAAACGTGGGCTGGAGGTCATTTCCCTCCACCCACGTCTCTCATTTTCAAACGGTTTAGCCGATTTGAAGTCTCAATTTTCACTCTCGATTTTCGTCTCCCTTTCCAAGCTGGCGAAGTTGAAGTCTCTTCCCCGTTTTCAATCTCCGTCAACTTTACTCTCGGACATCCTCGCACACAACGCATCAGCTATGGCACTTAACGGCGGCGAGGTTAATACCACTACCGCCCCCTCTCGACCCGAGTCCGGAAGAAACGCTCGCGAAATCGCGGGCGATCGCCTGAACAAGCGCCGGGCAGACGACGGGGAAAATTCCCCGACTGGCGTCGACGTCCTGCTCGGCCCGACCGAGGCACACGCCACGGGCGTCGAGGCACGCGCCCCTGGTGTGCCTCGAGCCCCTGTGGCCCCTGACGCGCCGGCCACGACAGAAGGCGCCAAATCGGCGCCAACCAGCACAGCCGGCACCCCGCGTCCGCGTCAGCGCCGCAGGCCCGCGGGCCCTGACGCGCCTGTGGGCCCTGACGCGCCTGTGGCGCCTGACGCGCAAGTGGCGAAGGGTGCCCAAGTGGCGCCAACTTTTTCTGCAGCCCAACTGCAGCAGCTTCTGTCCCTGTTACAGCAGCACGCCCCTGCTGTTACTGAAGAAATTGCTACACCGAACGCGACTTCCGTTTCTGCTAAAAGCGAAAAGGCGAAAACGGAGCCTGTCAAGCGCGCTCGCACGACAAAAACCGGAAGGGGCGAAGACACACGCGCCGCCGCCACTCCAGTCACGAACAACCCTATCGACAGCGACAACGAAGACGACGACGATGGTGAGGCACATGCCGTAAATGCCTCTTTCGCACCCGTTGAGCAACTCCCCCCACTCCCCTCACCCAATCCCACTCTAACCGCCGCCTCGTTCAAGAACGCTGCCGTGCGCGAGCAAGCCGAGGTCCTGGAACACCTGCGGGCGTACCTGAAGCATGCGGAGCACAAAGTGCGACACAATGAGCCGGAAAGCGCCCTCGAATACCTTGGCGAAGCCTTCACACTCATCAACAACCGCTTCAAGCTACTCCATGTCGCCGACTACACCAACTTCCGCACCGCAAATCGCTTCAAGCTCTACGAAGATAAGAGTGTCTTCACCTCACGTCCGTTCAAGCAGGCCGTCGCGGACGTGGCGGCCATGGAGCGCGCCCAAGGCAATTTCACTCGCACTCCACGTGGCGGAGGGCGCGGGCCCATGGCATTTGGCAACAAGCGCGGTCCCCCACTTGATGGCAATGGCAGGAGCTTTCGTGGCTCATGCTTCCGTTGTGGGCAGCCGGGCCACATGGCCAATGCTTGCCCGGAAAATGGGGGAGGAGCCCAAGGGCCGGCGCCGGTGGTGTGAACACCCTAGGGGGTGGTGCCGAGAGGCTCGAGTGAGGGTGATGGCACTAGGAAGTGCGAGGCCGCTGGCCTATCCCATAGGGGATGTGAGAAAGGCCGCGGGCCTACCCCAAGGCAAGGGGTGTAGGACTAGGAGTCCTAGGTGAACATGGGATTGGAAATAATGCTTGTATGCTCTTATGAATGAGTGGAAAGGCCTAATGGGCGAAGTTGTTGGACTTGCTTGAAAAAAAAAAAAAAAAAAAAAAAAAAAAAAAGGGAGCATGCGCTCTTGATGTATGGACCTGAAACAATAAATACCCGCATGGCATGGTGGCCTACGGTACACGCGAACTAGAGAGCGAGAGAAGGAGAGAGATAGAGAGTGTATAAAAGGGAAAGTGATAAGATGTTTGGGCTATGCACCCATACAATACAAAGGAATCATGTGCGAAGGGGGGGCAAAAGGAAACGAGATTGTGTGGGACTTGGGGTCCCACAATACCACGGGCTCACGCCATAATGCAAGACAAAGGTGGCCTGCCAATCATGGAAGGCGGCAAATGCCCATTCAAAGAGTACGCGAAAAAAAAAAAAAAGAGAGAGAGAGAGAGAGAGAGAGAGAGAGAGAGAGAGAGAGAGAGAGAGAGAGAGAGAGAGAGAGAGAGAGAGAGAGAGAGAGAGAGAGACGCCTTGCTCAAAGACTAAGGCCAGAATCACCGAGTCGGGTGGCAAGTATCACCACTCTCACGCGATTGGTCCAAATATTCACTCGGTTTTTGCCAGGATTGGCTTCCGAGCTTCCAACCAAACCTACTGCCTGGGCTTTTGTCTGAACCTACCATTCCCGGTCGACTTCCTTGTGTAATTTGGGTCTTGGGTTTAACGAGGCATGCCCCGTGTTGCCCCCACACCCTATGGTCCAATGGCCACAGATATGCCGGGGGGTGGAACGATCGAGGGGAGTGGCCCCTACGAGTTTGCAATCACTGACAAGGTCGTCACGACCATGCGTGGGCGCCTGCGCACGACATTTCCATGGTGGAGCTCATGGTGTGAGAGTAGCTTCATACTCTCGGTAATCTCCAACGGCTATTGGATGCCATGGAAGCAGGGCCCACCTACGCCGTTCCGGCAGGACAACCACGCGGGAGCGCTAATTCATTCCACGTTCACCAAGCAAGCAATAACCGAGCTTCTCGAGAGTGGTGCGGCCGCTCCCGCCCCAGCGGAGCAACAGCTATGTATCAGCCCGCTGAATGTCGTGGTTCAAAGAGAAAAGTGCCGACTGATTCTTGACCTCCGAAGGGTGAACCAACATCTGTGTATCCCCAAATTCAAGTACGAAGGACTGAACCGGGTGGCGGAGCTCGTTCACGAAGACGACTGGATGTTCGCAGTCGATTTAAAATCGGGATACCACCACGTCGACATCCACCCTTCATGCTGGAAGTTCCTCGGGTTCCAATTCGACGGGCGCTCGTACGTTTTTCAGTCTCTACCATTTGGTCTGGCGACAGCCCCGTTCGTTTTCACGCAGCTCATCAAGCAGCTTGCCCGCCGTTGGCGGGCGCTTGGGGTGCGAGTCATCCCTTGCGTCGACGACATCCTCTTTCTATGTCGCACGGCAGCCGAAGCGAGAACCACGGGTCAGATGGTGGTGCAAGACCTCAGGAAGGCTGGACTGGTTATCAATTCTAAGAAGTCGCACCTGCAACCCACCCAGCAACTGCGGTTCTTGGGTGTCGAGTTGGATACACAACGCGGCCAGTTCTCCATTGGCCCCGAGCGGCGAGCATCATTACGCTCAACCATTCATGAATTATGCATGGCCGGCAAGGCCGAACGCAAAGTCCCGATCCGACACGTCGCCAGAGTTACCGGCATGCTCGCGTCGATGTCACTTGCCATCGGCGCAACCGCACGGGCATTCAGCCAGAACCTATTACAGACCATTCAAGATGCCCCTTCCTGGAACAGCAGAGTGCAGTTGGTCCCTGCGGTCATTGAAGAGCTCGAGTTTTGGCTGCATGAATTTGACAAGTTCAATGGCGCCCCGTTCCACGTCAAGAACAGCTACGATGCATTGATCCATGTGGACGCCAGCGCACACAGTTGGGGAGCGACACTAGATACGTTCCCAGGACGGCGAATTGAGGCGAGCGCAACCATGCCCGTGCACCTCACGAAAGCCTCCAGCACGCAACGAGAAATGGATGGAGTCCTATGGGCGCTGCAGACATTCTCGGGAAGGATCCAGAACCGACATGTCCTCGCCAGAACCGACAACCAAGGTGTCTTCTTTATCCTTCGCAAAGGTGGTTCGCGGACTCCGAGCCTCACAACCACGTGCAGAGCCATTATTCAAGCGTGCGTTGCCTCCGGGATTCGGCTGACGGTCGAATGGATTCCGCGCGAACTCAACACACGAGCTGATGAACTTTCAAAGATCATCGATCGAGACGACTACGCACTCAAAGCACCATGGTTCCGGGTTCTTGAACGGCGCTTGGGACCGCACTCTATCGATCTATTTGCCAATGCGAACAACACCCAGCTGGCTCGCTTCTGCTCCAAAACCCCTCATCCCGACGCAGAGGCAACCGATGCCTTCTCCCTATCATGGGCCTCCGAGCATGCATACGCCTTTCCGCCACCCCACCTCATCCCAGCGGTGCTGCATCACGCCCAAAGGACGCGAGCATCGCTCACGCTCGTCGTGCCCCACTGGCCAGGGGCAAGCTGGTGGCCGTTACTCCAACCCGCTCCGCCCCAATGGGCTGCCTGCATTCTCACCCACATCCGCCTCACCCACGGGAGCCAATGCCTGTCCGCAGGCACCCACACCCGCGCCTTTTCTGGGGAAGGATTGCCTCACAGCCCGATTATTGCATTACGAGTGTCCTTCGCCACCTGACCATTCACACATCTGGTGCAGGATTGCTCGAGAGGCTCAAGCAAGAACTTCTTCGGATAACCACGCGTACGAGGGCTGACTCGACGATTCGCACCTACGAACCATACTGGGCCAAGTTTCGTGCATTCTGCACACACGTCAAATTGCAGTTCCTGCCATGCACAGACATGACACTCGCATTATACCTGGTCCACGCGATTCAACAGAAGGCCA